GAAGGGGATGACAGAGGACTAGATGGTTGGATGGCCTCACCAACTCAATGGACATGAGTTTGGACAAACTCCAGGGAATAGTGAAGGACTGGGAAGTCGGGCATGCTGCAGTCCATGCGGTCACAAAGAGTCGGACATGACTGAGCAACAATGCTCAGTCGAAAACTAATGATATGAAGTACACAAACACATTTTTACCAAACTATGAATAATCTTACACAATTAAAAAGAGCTAAGTATTCAACCAAAGAAAGTTCTGGATGTGTTTTGTGTTAGGGTTTTGAATAAAATACAAAATGTTTTTGGTGTTAAAAAAAACAACAACAAAAAACTTGGTCCAAGGGTCTTCCCTGATGGCTCAGAGTAAAGAATCCTCCTGCCAATGAAGGAGACCCAGGTTCAATTGCTGGGCCAGGAAGATCCCCTGGAAAGGGAAATGGCAACCCACTCCAGTATTCTTGCCTGGGAAATCCCATGGACCGATGAGCCTAGAGGGTTACAGTCCACGGGATTGCAAAGAGTCAGACATGACTTAACAACTGAGCCGGGACACCACCAAACAGGAGTGAAACTGTCCTGCTTGCTTTAGAATAAGTCCACATTTTCTCTGCAACTCTAGATTTCTTATCTGTAAAATGGGGCTAGTGATAATATTTACCTCATAGGATTTGCTGGGAAGATGAAATATGCTCATATATGTAAAGCACTTAGAGACAAGTACATGGACCACATATGCTTTCAATAGTTACTAGCTACTCTCGGCCTTAACTCATCAAACCACACCAAGCTTCATTATAGGCACTGCAAGTACATCACCAAACAAAATGAATCCAAATTTTGGGCTTCATGGTTTTTGCATTTGTAGTAAGAGGATGCAGACAATAAAATAGATAAGCAAATGATGTGATATACCAGCCAGTAGTTAAGTTCCATGAAGAAAAATGAAGCAGAGAATGAGGAGGGGGAGGGCTGGGATTGGATATGGTGATTTTAGCAGGGTGGTGCAGAAAGGCATTGCTGCAGGAGGAATGGGAGTGAGCTCTGTGCATACAAGGAAAAAGACCACTCCGGGCAGAGAAGAGTAAGTGCAAGCACCCTGAAGTAGGAGTCTACACAGAATAATCAAGGAGCAAGACGGCAAATGTGGGTAGAGCAGAGTAAGCAGAAAGCAGTAGGAGGCTAGGTCAGAGACATAACAGGGGACCAGCTTGTGGAGGTCCTTTTATTCTGAGTGACGTGTCAAGACACTGGAGGTTGTGAGCACGGGAGTGTTATGATCTGACATATATTTTATTGGATCGCCCTAGCCACTTATGAGCATGGTAGGAGCAGGAGGAGAGGCAAGGTGAGACACAGGGATGGAGATCAGGTAGGAGGCTGTTTCTGAAGTCCAGTCTACAGATCATGATGGCTCTACCTAGGGTTGTTTGAGGGAGAAGGTAAAACATAGTCAGGCTATATAGATATTTCGACAGGAGAGGTGACAGGTTTTCCGGATGGATTAAATGTGAGGTTTGAAAGGAAGAATGGGGTGAAAAATGACTTAATACCACCAAGGTTTCTCAGCAATCAGATCAATATAAATGGAAACCTGGAATAGAAGAAAAAAAAAAAGAAAACAAAAAACAAGCATGACTTAATTGAACTGAGGTCTGAACCTGAGACTCTGCAAGCTTATTTATATTAACCGGCTTAGGGAAGACCTGAGTAATGGTTTGGGGAAGGAAGGAACAAAGTTGTCACTGTTGTTTTTCCTCTTCCTTTTATTATTATTGCCATTATTTTTGTTGTAATGAGAGGTAGTTTCGCCAGCCCTTCTCTTTTTATTCTTAATCCATCTCCTATCAGATTTTCTCTTTTTTCCCAGGAGGTAATAAGCCACTGTGCATCCCACCCCTCTATTTGGTCAACACACTACAGCAAGCTGATCCTTTTTCCTACTGTCATCTAGTCTCATAGAGAAGTAGATGGATACTTAGCATGCCTCTCTACCCAGGGAATATAACCTTGACCCTAGCCACACACAACCCCATTTCTACATTCACATCTTCATTCTCAATCTCCCCAGTAGTGTTGTTAAAAAAGGAAACACCTGCTTTTTCTTCTTTTGGACATTTTGCTGTTCTTTGCTTTTTCTCATTTTGGCCATTTCTCTTCCACTTACTCCAGGTTCCATTTATCCTCCCACCAATTCTTCCCCACTAATAACAACGTCTGCTTTCACTCCCAGGAACTCTCCTGCAACCCATCAACACGGCAATAAATCTCCTGACCTATCTCCCTAGCTCAACCCTTTCCACCGGTCCTCAATTAATATTTTTTGCTGCAGGAAGAGTCATTTGAGGTCTCTGAGTTCGATCCTCTGTAAAATAAAGGAGTTAAACTAGATTATCTCCAAAGATATTTTCAGTTCTAACTTCTGATCAAACTGACTCTGTTTATTCAGTATTTTTTCATGTGTGGCAATTTCTCATTTCCTAGTGAGCTCATCCTCAATTTCTCCCCCCTTCATTACTTCCTATAGTTTCCAAAATCCTAACATTTTTCTTAAAATGGTCAAACCAAATGGTTTTCACCCATACCTTAATGTTAATCAAAAGAGTGTGTTTCTTTTTTTTAATTTTTCCTAACATTAGCACCCAAAATAATTAAAGGAAAATGTTTCAAAAATAAACTTATTTGGACATTTCTTTACCCTGGGTGAGATGTTATGATTTTCTTTGAAAAATGTGTGACTGAAAAGTTTTGTTAATGCCAATGACAAGCAGCTAATGGCACAACATCACTTTGATTTTCTGACACACCCTTGAGCTTTCCATCTTCACATCTTTGTGGTATCCTCACCTTTGACTTTCTTTTGTCCTGTAACTGCCCATTTTGATCAGCTAATGAGAAAGTTAGAGTGGTAAGAAGAAAACAATTTAGCTCAGCCAACGGCCTCTTTTTCAAATAAGGAAACAGTTTGTTCTTTGAGATTTCAGACTAAGTTAGAAACATTTAAAAAATCCTGTACACAGAGGTCATTTTTAATGCTTTTATTTAGCAAAAGTTCCAGGTGATTTTTAAATACATTGGACATCCCATTCATTGAGGAAGGAAAGTTGTTCCAAAACATTTTTTAATAGTCCTAAACTGATTTTGTCTATCAAAGCAAAAAAGAGAAAAATCTACCCCAAAAAATGTCTTTCTATAGTGGAAGTTACATAGCTGGACTTCCTAGACATTAAAGAAATTCACACACACACACATACACACACATTTATATAATTAGAAATATTCCATTTTTAAGATTAAATTTTACCAAACACGTTGTGACTATAAATGGGTTACTTGAACACAGTAGTTATTTCTACTTGTTTTTAGCAAGAGAGCTGGTCTTCACATTATATAATCCTAGCTTATAAATTTTACTCTGAAAATCATAGGATACATTTGTCCTGCCTAGCCTTCTCTGCTCAAATGAAACCATTTGTTCTGAGTCCCAGTTACAGGACACCTCTCCCTTCTCTGAATTCCACTGGAACTCACCTTTCGTCCTTCTCGCCCCCATACTTCCTAAATCAGACTCTCTCACAGCTATCAATAAATATTTATGGGAGAAAAGAAGGAGCAGAAAAATAAATAAGCATTGTAGGTTAACAGAAAAAAGTACGGCTCTGAGTCAAACAAACCTTATCATATTTCATCTATTTATTCACCACATGACTGAAGACAGTTGATTTCATCTCTGTGAGTCTTAGTTTCCTCATCTCTATAACAGATAATAAAAACCTTCCACTTGGGGTACCATGAAGATCACATTACATAAGACTGTAAAGCATCCAGCACATAAGAGGCACCCAATAAAACTTATTTCCCCTTTCCCATATCAGACAATCATTACTAGTTCAACCCTGCAGGGCACCTGATTGAACATAGGGATGCTTCTAGGCTGTGAGCTTTTTAAGGGCAAAATCTTATTAATCTTTGAACTTCTTATAGAGCCCCAGATAGTGAATTGCACAGTAACTGTTTTGCATTAAACTGAGGGTAAACCAGGATCCCCCCTAATCTGTGACACAGTTAACTATGGATTTTGGCACTTGGGGCTCTTCTGGGAACACAGCTCCTCTTGTGAGCAGGCTATGGCTCGGGCCAGTCCCACCTGGAGATGGCCCACTGTGGTTTAAACGCGGATAACTAACTTTCCTGAATTTTATGGCGACTGTTGGAACACGGCTCCGTTTCCCACTCTAGAAACTGCTGCGGACAAACTGACCTTCCACTGGGAGAGGCTGAACTCACCAAAGTGTGCCGGCAACACCACAGGTGTTGTGGTTTTCACAACCCTGAGTCAAATAAACCCGGGTGATAAACTCCAGGTCATCCCTGACCAGCCTCGAGACCCGGGCACCCTAGTTCTGCTCACAGAGCCTCAGCGAAAACACATAAAGATAGTAACGTTACTGAGGTCATCACACTGGGCTGTGCATACAGAAGGAAGGTGAGGCTTTGGAACATGTTTTAACAAGTCCGAAGTAGGATGCAACAACAAAGACTAGAAAGTCATTGCTTTGGATCATACGGGGCTCTCCCTTATGGGAGATGAGAGTCCAGGCTCTCATCCACTCTATTCTCTTCTTTGGCCAACTGACCAATTCTTCCTTTATAATCCACTCCAGTTCAGCAGAAAAGCTGTGTGTGTGTGTGTGTGTGTGTGTGTGTGTGTGATCACACAGTGACAACATCTAGGTTAACTCCCAAACTTTTCTTCCGCCTGCCAAGTCACAAGGCAACAAGCCAGAGCAGCGGTGCGTTCACAGGCCAGCAACGCACTGACCGTGCCGCAGGGGCCATGTGCCCGCCGGCGCAGACCTGGGCCCGTCCGTCCCCTTTCCGTCGGATGTTGGAACCGCACTGCACAGCCCAGCGGCTCGTGGATTCTTCTCGGGGTCAGTCACGGCACCCTTTGCAAGATATTTCAAAGAAGATCCAGTTCAACCAAAGCAGAGCCTCATCACCCTACACACCGCACACGGAAGACCGAATCTTCCCGAATTTCTGATAAAAGTCTTCCTCTGCGCGGGCCAGGGCTTCTTCGTCGATGTACACCGCCGGCCTCTTGGCCACGAGGAAATACTGCACCTTCCTGCGGCTCCAGCCCAGCACGTACTGAAGCCAGCCGCACACAGCGGCGGTGGAGCGCCCCACGCCGGCGTTACAGTGCACGTACACGGTGTGGCCCTTCTCGAGCAGCGCGTGCAAGAGACACACCGCCTGCGGCAGCATCTGGACACGGCCTGCGGTAGAGAGAACACAGCACAGTCGGGTGAGACCGGAGCCACCCCGGGCCGCCCCGCACAGTCACTCCTGCGGCGGGAGAGGCGGGCGTGGCGGAGCTAGCTTCCCTCTGTGTAGAAGGAAAAGGTGAGACGATCGCAGAACCTGCTCATCATCAAGTGGAAAGAGCAGCCGGGAGGCAATAGGTCGGATCTGAATTGTCACTGGATTTGGCTGCTCTTTTGAGTGAGCCTGCATCCCTGCAAACCTCCCTTCAAAGGGAATTTCACTAGCGTCTAGCCTGAAAAGCATGGGTCCTTTCATCTATCAGAGGGGTCTGGGCAGAGGTTTAAAGGATTTCAAAGAGAAGTTCACAGATCCCATCACCTGAATTTCCTTTAATCCAATAGGATCTTCCAGGTAAATGCAAAACAGAATTAGTCTGTACTGGTTAAAGGAGTCCATCTGCCTCATCTTGAACATAAGCTAATTTTGATTTGTCCAAGGGAATGGCTAACGTGTTAATTGACACAGGTGGGATAGCCAGTCATTCATGTATTCCCTCCTGATAACACTGTGTATTGGGGCTTCCCTGGTAGCTCAGCAGTCAGGAATCCGCCTGCAACACAGGAGGCCTGGCTTGGATCCCTGGGTCAGGAAGATCCCTGGGAGAAGGAAATGACAACTCACTCCAGTATTCTTGCCTGAGGATTCCCATGGACAGAGGAGCCTGGTGGGCTACAGTCCATGGGGTTGTGAAGAGTCCGACACGACTTTGTGACTAAAGCACCACCACCATCACGGTGTGTATGAAAACTGACTCAGTTTCCCTTTACTGGGCAATTATGATTACAGGTGTTGCTGCCCTGGGGCTCCTGTCCTGATGATTAGATGTCCAGTGTCTTCCCCTCAGCACACTGAGACAGGATATATAATGCTCTGCTGAGGCCCGTTGGACCCATGCCCTCTCTATCATCCCAGGGACAGAGAGCCCCCTGAGGCCAGCAAACTCTTAGATGCCTGGAGTTTCTCCTGCTCTCAGATTCTCAGAGCAAAATGAATCTGGTGGATTTTTTTTTGGAAGGTGGAGGATGGTCATTGTAAATTACTTCGAGAATGGGTGGAAGAGGGAAACTATACAGAGACCTGGGTGAAAACTATGTGCTCTGACCTCACATCCTCCAGCTGCTCTCTGTCCTCAACCACACGGAGACACCACAGCCTTGGGGGGAGGGGGGGGTATCTTTCAAGGGTCACAGAGAAGGCCTATCCAGCCTTCACACTACCATCCCACTGGATGACTGCAGAGGTGGGAAATGCCCCCCTGCAAATAACCTCACACCAGATCTTCACTGAGGCCTGCAATTCTCCCATGAGAGCTGCTCAGGTAAGTTTAAACTTTCCTTAGATGTCCTTTTTTTTTAAAATGCAAGTGCCTTGAAGGGGCCAACACAACAGATTGCAATCAGGCATCAGCACCTTAGAAGGAGAGTTACCACCACCCCCCTCCATGGCCTGAAGACCCTCCCAGTGACCACTCTACTGTGACAGGAGGGGGCTTAGCTTCAGGCCCACCCTGCTATGATATCTATCAGAGCCGGAGATCTATATGAAGCCAAAAATGATTTTAGTAGCTCCTGGTGTTCTGTTACTCCCTCTGACTAAGGAATTTAAAGGCCCCACATGGCAGTTGAGAGAGTTTTAACAGGAATGATTTAAGCAGAGCACACTTCACAGTTCCTACAGCTCCATCTCTCCCCAGTGCCTGTTGCCACACTCTCCCGTTCCCTGCCTGGTCCCTGAGGCCATCTGAATTGAAGTCACACCAGCCCCTAGGCCTTGCTTGACTTCTGAGTCCAAACTGTGCCATAAACTTTAACTGATCTATGCCTCTGTGCTTGGTTGCAGGGTGCTCTGAGGACAGAGCTTGGGGTGCCTGCCATACAGTCAGTCACTCTCCTGGAGGCAGTGAAGTAACACCCGCAATGTAACAAGGTATAAGACACCATGTGTATCAGAGAGTGGTCTCGCTGGATGTCTCAGGGAGAGAACTGTGTCTTTGGTCCACTATTTAAGTTTAGAAATCAGATGAGGCAAAACCTCCAAGGCCTGTACGAGTGACCATGCTGATAACTGTGAGGCCTGTTCGAATGCAGGCTTCTCTTTCTTAGAGGGGGGTATTAGAACTTTAAGGACTGTTGGCCAGGAAAGGAACTCCCAACGACGGATCGAGGAAGCTTGGGCTCGTCTTGCTCTTGGCTCAGCTGGCATCAGTTCTCAAGTTCCCCAGTTTCCATGTTCATTGCCAGGGAATTAACAGAAACATTTTTAATGGGAGTTTTCAGCAAATGCCCAATACACAAGTAGACCACAGCAGCATTGGCAGGAGGAGCTGCTAGAGTCAGAGACCCAGAGTTAATGCTCCGCTTCTGTGGCATCAGGACCAGCCTGCCCTGGCCAGGTCTACATGGACCCATCAGAATCCCCTCCCTTTTCCTTCTCTCTGGCCAGAAGTAGCCCCAAGGAAGGATCTGCACCAAACAGCCAAGATGATCTAATATTTCCCTCTTTCCTTTTTATCTGTAAAAGATTCTTCAACAGGTATTTTAGAAGTTGAGAAAGGATTTGTGTTAGTTTAAGGTTCAGTGAGCTCAGACACATAATCCTGGAATGTAAATGTCAGCTGCCACTCGGAAACTCCAGAAGGCTCCCAGTTTAAACACACATCTCACCCACCAGAGGTCCTCTCCTAGAATCACTCAGCCATCCCACTTAAGAACTGCTGAACACTTATTTAAATAACTTGAAGAAAGAATAAAAAGGGACACCAGCCTATCTAGGATGCCCACCCATCTCAGCCTGGCCTCCGCTGGAGCCCTCCTTTATTTTGACTCTGCTTTGATCAGTGGCTCAGACAGTAAACAATCAGCCTGCAATGCGGGAGACTCAAGCCCAGTTCCTGGATTGGGAAGATCCCCTGGAGAAAGGAAGGGCTACCCGCTCCAGTATTCTTGCCTGGAGAATTTCATGGGCAAAGGAACCTGGTGGGCTACAGTCCATGGAGTCGCAAAGAGTTGGACACGACTGAATGACTTTCATTTCACTTCACTTTGATGGATGACAGCGAACATGTACTGAGCTGTTTCTGTCTGCGGACGCTGTTCTAAGCTCTGCATGCAACAGCCTTTACAGCCACCTCTCAACAAACATGGGGCTGGCACTGTTATCACCCTCAGTTGTATCAGAAGTTTGTGCAAGCTTATGCCTTAATGCCCCTCCAACCCAGCCGTCCACATTCTGAAGTCTCTGGCTTTAAGCTCTGAGCTGTTTCTGTCTGCGGACGCTGTTCTAAGCTCTGCATGCAACAGCCTTTACAGCCACCTCTCAACAAACATGGGGCTGGCACTGTTATCACCCTCAGTTGTATCAGAAGTTTGTGCAAGCTTATTCCTTAACGCCCCCTCCAACCCAGCCGTCCACATTCTGAAGTCTCTGGCTTTAAGCTCTGTACTACCACCTTCCCTAACCTACCTGGTCCATGGTTGGCTTGCTGGCCCCCACGCAGTCAATGCGAAGCCCCAGTGAGTCCCTGCCCCCCACTTCCCGAGTCACGCAGCAGCTGTCCCCGCAGTGGGACAGCAGCATCCTCCCTGGGGCTCAGCATCTCTGTCCCTACCCAGACGGCTGTCTGGGTCCTACAAGTGCATGTCTTCTTGCTTGAAAACCCATTCTAGGGAGCCAGAGCAAATGCGTGTCATCTTGAAAAAATCACCACAACCTAAAAGCTGGGAGTTATGTTTTATTTGGTGGGAATTTTTAGGACTTCAAGCCCGGGAGACAGAATCTCAAGTCACCCTGAGAGAACTGCTCCAAGGAGGTGAGCGGATGAGCCAGGGAAGGCAGGGAGTCTGAACATCAAAAGATTATTGTTAAGTAAAGGAAACCAGATGCCCCCAGTTAAGGAATGTATCTTTTCTATGTAGGGGAAGATGCAAGAGCTGAGCTCACTGGAACCATTCCTTTCATATGCATCTGAGCTTTCATCTGAGCGATCCTGGGGCCAGTATCCTGTGGTCATCACATCCTGAGCTCCCGTGGTCTCACCCGGTCTCACCCATAGGGAGTGACTGCAGTCTGAGGGCTGTGGATTATGGGTATTCTTCTTCCTCAGTGCCCTTTGACCTCACCAGCTCACATCAGAGGGCTGCAATCACTGATGACTTGACATCCTTGTTTACTGATATGGCAGGAAATATTCCATTTCTCATACATAACCCACCAAGGAATCACACAAGGGTCCCCAGGATCAGGGCTCACCCAATAAAGCCAGTGTCAACCAGAGCCCCTAACGTGAATGTTTCATATGTTTAGCCTCCAGATGGAATTTAATTCAATAAAATACTAGCATTTTTAAAAACAATAATACCCCCAAGGCAAGAGAGAACCACTGATTTTTTTTTTTTTAATGTAAAACATTTCAAATTTTAAATGTTGGCAAGTAAGTTGAAAATTTTAAAGCCAGTGCAGGTCCAACAAAACACTCCACCATCTGTGATTTTTACTTTGGAATTTAAAACAGGGCTTGACTCCCCATAGATGCTCAATAAACATTCACTGAATATATGAATTAAAACAAAGTAAAACAAAACCATTAATACCAATTAAATCTGAGACAGTCCAAGACCCTTCTTATTAATTTCTGGTCCACATCTCCTCCAAGTTAATCCAACTCTGGAATGGCTTTTGGGGGTCCCTGAAGATATCTGAGGTTGACCTAAGGCTGGCCCTGAAAGAAATTGTTCCTGGCACAAGTTTCAGCCTTTCCAACACACACATACACAGGTCTTTCCTTTCTTAATCCAGAGGCAGATTAATGCTGAATATATTGCAATTTTATTTGAGCGCATCTTCTTTTCTTTAATTTAGATAAGGTCCCTGTTATCTATAACACCCTTTAATAGAAACGGAAGAACTTGGCACTGGCAATATGGCCCCAACTTCGGAATTTTCAAAGCTCTTCTATATCAATTATCTTATTCTACTGTTATAATCCTGTAAGGCAGATATTATTACTCCTCATTTTCCAAGTCTGCCCATAGCACACAGCTGCTCCACGGTGATGAGGCTCAAGCCCAGGTGCCGTGGCTCCAAGGTCGGTGTCTCTGCCTCGTGGCAACACTGCCTTTAGTGTGTTGAGTCAGAGAAAAGACTCAGACCGTGACAACAAAGGGATGGGCAAGGACTCTGAAGAGCATATTAACCCATTTGGGAGGCAAGGTTAGACTGTCTGTTATAAATGGCGCTGTGCTGACAAAGGTCAAAATACAGTCTGAGTACTTCCTGTGGGAAGGATAACTTATTTTCTAATGAACATTTTTTATGTGTTCAGGTGAGTGCTACATTTGGAAGCTTTTTGTTTCTCCGGTGAAAGATACAAACAAAACAAAAAAAAAAATCTTTTTCTTTTTTTTAAAGAAAAGAAAAAAAAACCTAAACAATCCCAACCCTTCTGCATGACAAAAAGTACAAGAGAGAATCGATGGCACAATTGATTATAACAGGTCTGTGACAACCAGTGGTGACAGTCAGGCCTAACAAACTGTCTTCCTTCTCAGACTTTATCTGACAGCATTATGCTGCGGCTCAAAACACTTCCAGATGGATTTTTCTCTGGAGTTCTAAAAATATTCAGCTGAATTAATCTATGTGTTCATTGTGCTAATGTTGTGAGCCACAGAGATTGATCTATTGGTCAAAAATTCCTCTGCAATTCAGGAGTGGTTGTTAACCCTTGGATTACTCCCCCAGGTTTTGCTGAACCACAGAAACTCTTTACTCTTGGGTTTTGGCTTTTTTTCAAGTGGGAGCTTTCATTTTGCTGCCATTTCTTTTGTTTCCAAACTGCCTCAGTGTGAAAGATGGTCCTTTGTGTGCGTGGGTCCTGGAGACTCCACGACCCCCAGAAGATTTTAATACAATTACAGTGGCTCCTTGGGGATAGCATTTTCCCTCAGGCTTCTGCAAATTCCCAAACTATTGAGCAAATTGCCTACCAGTTAGCAGGGTTTTGGGGTAATCAGTGCAAGGGGTAGGGCAGGCCATATTTATCTCAGCTTCTCTGAGCCTAGTCTCACATCCTATTCTGATGGGATAAGGAAGCTAGAAGATCACAACCAAAGAAGTGAGAATCAAACCCTCCCTGGAAGCTATGGGCACGCGATCCTCACAACCTTCTCAGTTCTGAAGCCAGAGCAGCAAACTGGACGGGGCAAATATGACCCAGGTTCACTGGGCTTTTCTGTGCAAATCATGTTTTGTTTTGTTTTTTTTAAATTCCTTGAAAAAAGACAGAGCTCTAGAAGCTAAATCAAGCTTCTTTGGATCAGCATTCATTACCAAGAAGAGTAACCAACCAAACAAACCTTTAGAAAGAAAAATAATACCTCATTCCCAGCGATAGTTCAGTTCAGACGGACCCACTGAGGGGCCCAGCCTGGCCAGCAGGACAATAAATATTCATCAAAATGGCCAAGGCCCTAAGACTGTCAGAGTCCCCCATCCCCACCTACATCTTGGAGTACTGACTGGGGAGACAAGCTATCTCCCTAAAAACTCATGAAGTGAAAGTGAAGATCGCTCGGTCGTGTCCGACTATTTGTGACTCCGTGGACTATAGCCTGCCAGGATCCTCAGTCCATGGAATTCTCCAGGCCAGAAAACTGGAGTGGGTGGCTGTTCCCTTCTCCAGGGGATCTTCCCAACCAAAGAATCGAACCCAGGTCTCCCGCGTTGGAAACAGATTCATTACCCTTTGAGCCACCAGGAAAGACCAAGAAACTCATGTCTTTGTCTAAATCCAGCTGATGATGAACATGGCAGGTTGAAAGTGTGGGTGGTGGTCTGTATAAAGTGCATGAAGAGTCCATGTGAGCGTGTAGAGAAGCTTCATTGCATGGTGGCAGGTGCAGTGTTCTGAGTCTGACTGCATGTGTTGAAATTCAGGCTGTGTCTCTGCTGTATGACACCAGCCAGGTTACTTAACTTCTGTGTCCCTCATTCTCTTTCTCAGCAAAATGGAGATAACAACACCTGCCTGGACTCTTGTCGTGAGAATTAAATGAGTTAACGTTCAAAATTGTTCAAAACAGAGTTTGATACATAATGTATTTTGGGGGGAAGACGACTGATGATAGAAACATTTCCTTGCTGGGCATCACTGTCTTCCTTCTTTCCTCCAGAATAGCAGTTCACCAGATGCCTTCAGAAGGACTGATGCTGAAGCTGAAGCTCCAATACTTTGGCCACCTGATGCGAAGAACTGACTCATTGGAAAAGACCCTGATGCTGGGAAAGGTTGAGGGCAGGAGGAGAAGGGGACAACAGAGGATGAGATGGTTGGATGGCATCACTGACTCGATGAACATGCATTTGAGCAAGCTCCCGGAGTTGGTGATGGCCAGGGAAGCCTGGCGTGCTGCGGTCCATGGGGTCGCAGAGTCGGACAGGACTGAGCCCCTGAACTGAACTGAAGCGCCCTGATTCCGAGCCAGTCCATAGCTCTCTGCTGCCCTCTGCTGGTATCTGATTGATATTATTCGAGTAGCTTGTTCTCTTGGATTCAGAGATCACTCCTTTCCTTCAAGAACCCTATTCCCCAGCCAGGCTGAAATACAGATTATCCCTCTAAAATCCCACGCCTCTGTGCCTCGGTTGTTTCTCCCACCGCCATGCCCTTTCTCCCTCTATGTTGACCTGCCACGCCCACCTCAAATCCCAGGACACTTACATCGCCTCCCTGTGCTTCTCTGCAGAAATTCTCCTCCCACACCATAACCCTCCTAGCGCGCGTGACTCATCCTTCTCATCACCTTCTTCTTCGCACTTTAATTAGCTTTGAACTTGCCTTACTGCCTCTTGCCGTGAGATCAAACTGTTCCTTATTTGTCTCCGATCCTTGGCAGCAGCCATGTCACACCCTAATTCCCTCTTCACGAAGACAGGTTCCGCCAGTGTTTGTGCGGTAAATGGAAGCATCACAATTGCCACCCTGCCCTGAGCTGCATGCAGTTCTCTCTCCTTACCTCTCACTTTAACTGCTGCAGTAACTTCCTAACTGGCCTCCCGAGACCCGCTGTGGGCCCATCCCCGTGTTCTACACACTGCAATCAAAGGGTGCTTTTGGGGGGTGGCGGGGAGAAAGGTTATCTTGGCATCTCTCAGCCTCCCTCCCTTTCATCTGCTTCTCACTGCATAAGGATACAGTCTCAAGTTTTCTTTGGCCCAAGTCCTGCAGGACCTCGTTCCCTTCTTCCCAGACCTGCAGCCACACCGACTGTCTTTCAGTTCCTACAATACTTGTGCTCTCCTGCAAGAGGACTCTTTCTCGCTACTCCCTCTGTCTGGAAGCCTCCTGCCCACCTCACTTGTGCCCAACTCCCGCTTCGGATCTCAGTTCAAGCACACCCAAGAAAACCTTCCCTGGCCCTTTTTCCTAGGTCTGATTTGCCTGTGCGTGCTCTCGTTGCAGGATCCGTGTAACTTTCTAATCGGAAAACTGACCAGAGCTTTACATTTCTATTTGCAGTCATTTGATTAATGCTTATCTTCCCTATTGGACTATAGCTTCATGAGGACGGGAGCTGTGCCTGCTTTTCTTCACCTCTGAATTCCCAGCCACCAGCCTAGGGCCCCACACACATAGTAGATACACAATAAATAAGTTTGATGAATAAATAAATTAAAAGAACTAATGTGAAACAGAATCTTAGTCAAGGTGTCAAAAGATATATATATCTTATACATACCACATGTATGTGTGTGCATATATATATACACATATATATATAATATATATTAACCCCCAAATCTTATATGTATTCCATATCTATCATTCACATACAGGTTTTCAGTTATAGACAGGAAGGTAGGTAGATAGGCAGACAGACAGACAGGCAGAAACCACCAAGGGCTTCTCTGAAACACATTCAACAAGCCCCCTCGGACGCTTACCTTCTGTGCTCATGTCTGGGGTGGGCATCCAGATGTAGGCCAAGCCTTCCTCCTTGTACAGCTTAATCATAGTGTCTGGTGTCATGGGTTCTGGGTAGCGGTTACAGCCTGAGGAATTCTGTACAATATCCCATTCCGTCTGGAAATTCATTACAGCTGTAACCCCTAGTTCATGCTTCAGTTTGATGGTTACGTGTTCCACTTGGCGAGGGCAGCTACCCAGCCAGATATTTGGTAGGATCCTAAGAAGGACACATGGAGTCAACCATAACTATTGGTGTTACAGCAGCTGCATAAACCATGCAGTATTAAAATGCAATTAACCTTCAACACTGGCTCAGGAAAAGCTGTATTAAAAACATGAGAACCAATATTATTATTAAAAGACAAAAATACTGGTGGTGGCATTTTGAGGGAAACAAATAATTCAATTAACTAGAAGGTCAGGGTACAAGCATTAGGAAACCAAATCAAGCAATATATTAAAATAAGTCCACCATGTTACACTTATTCCATGATTATGGTTCAATATTAGGAAATCCATCAACATATTTCAAAATACTAACAAATTAAGGGCAAAATTCCTATGACTATATCATAAATTCTGGAAAATATGCAGTATTAAAATGCAATTAACCTTCAACACTGGCTCAGGAAAAGCTGTATTAAAAACATGAGAACCAATATTATTATTAAAAGACAAAAATACTGGTGGTGGCATTTTGAGGGAAACAAATAATTCAATTAACTAGAAGGTCAGGGTACAAGCATTAGGAAACCAAATCAAGCAATATATTAAAATAAGTCCACCATGTTACACTTATTCCATGATTATGGTTCAATATTAGGAAATCCATCAACATATTTCAAAATACTAACAAATTAAGGGCAAAATTCCTATGATTATATCATAAATTCTGGAAAATATGTGCTAGAATTCAGCAATCATTCCTGTTTAAAGCCCTGTATAAAAATTTCAAATAGTATGAGATTAAGAGAAACTAATAACAACCTTCTTTTAAATAAAATCAAAGATTATTTACATCAGTATTCAACATTATTCTATATGCTTCATCTAAAGCTATAATGTAGAAGAAATCTCTCTCTGTCAAAAAAAGATTCAACTACAAGAGCTATGAACAATATTAAAAGTATTAAGATTAAATTATCTGGATGAAGGAAAATACACAAAAATCAAATAATCATTCTCTGTACTACTAATAGCCAGGTAGAAACAGATTGGGAGGAGGACAGGAAGTCTTATTCAAAAATAATGACAAAATTATAAAATATCTAGAAATGTCTTTAACCCAGAAAAAACTATAAAATTTTATTAGAGGACATTATAAAAACAATAACAACAAATAAGTAGACATACTGTGATGCTGTGATTTATTATAAGAAATATATATTTGTTCTTCATCCCCATATCTGACACAGAGTTCCTAAATCCACTGAAATTTCCTAAGTGATGACAGTCATAAAGGTGTCTTTTCTTAATGAGGTAATTTTTAAAATGCGGCTAAGGCAACCCTGGTTGCCAGGGTTACCAACCTTGTGATTAGAGGGTTGGAATTTTCATCCCACCCCCTGATCTCCTGGGAGGGGAGAGGGACTAGAGGTTGAATCAGTCACCTTTGACCAATGATTTCATTGACCAGGCCTATGAAATGAAGCCTCCATAAAAACTCAAACAACAAAGTTTGGGAAGCCTCCAGGTTGGTGAATACAGGATAATGGGAGAACAGAGGGTGTGGAAATCCTGCTCCTTTCCCATGCCTTCCCCTAGGCATCTCTGATATATGACTGTCCCTGAGTTACATCCTTTTATAATAAACTGCTGATCTAGTAAGTAAAGTGTTTCTTTGAGTTCTGTGACCTCCTCTAGAGGAGGTAGGAATTTCCTTGTGGAAATTGAAGATTATTATGGAAAAAATAAAAGGATAAAATTTTAAACAAAGAGAAACGCTGGAACCCAGAAAAGACTTACGGTGCCCTGAACAGGGGAAAAGTGAAAGTGTTAGTTGCTCAGTCACGTCGAACTCTTTGCAACCCAATGGACTATAGCCCACTAGCCTCCTCTGTCCATGGAATTCTCCAGGCATTCCTGGAGTGGGTAGCTATTCCCTTCTCCAGTTCAGTTCAGTTCAGTTGCTCAGTCGTGTCTGACTCTTTGCAACCCTATGAACTGCAGCACGCCAGGCCTCCCTGTCCATCACCAACTCCTAGAATTTACCCAAACTCACATCCATTGAGTCGATGATGCCATCCAACCATCTCATCCTCTGTTGTCCCCTAATCTCCCTGCCCTCGATCTTTCCCAGCATCGGGGTCTTTTCAAAAGAGTCAGCTCTTCGCATCAGGTGTACTGGAGTTTCAGCTTCAGCATCAGTCCTTCCAATGAACACCCAGGACTGATCTCCTTTAGGATGGACTGGTTGGATCTTCTTGCAGTCCAAGGGACTCT